TTTCTTTGCAACCTTAACTTGGTATTCTGCCACGTGAAAAGTACATCCACCTAGGTTGCACTGACATCAATTGGATAATATTATATAGCCTAATAATAACTTAAAATGCATTGATGCTGTAGCTAAAAGAAATTAGTCATGTCTGCCTCATCTAGGACATGTGTTGGCCCTGTTGGGTCATGGCTTCACGCAATACAATGAATAGTCTGCTATTTGCATCGGCAAATCAGTCATATGACAAGAAGTTGCATTCACTACTGAGATTATAAAATTTCCAAAAACACTCTGACATTTTTGTATATGAAAAGGCCTATTCAATTGATCATCAAGTAAATAAGATATATCCTTTGAGAGCCTGTCAGAATGTAAAAATGGCTATAGACTTGTTTTTCATTCCTCAAAAGTGAGATTTTGATCTTTGTTGCCCAAAATTTAAAAATCATGTATCAAATGATGAAACAGTTCACGTGCACGAAGACACATTAAAAAGCCTACGTGACAATTTTTGATCATAGACTGTATCAATGTTGAATTAAAGGTTACGGCGAAATAGGACTTGCAGACTGACTTTCGACGTCAAAGTGCCATTTTCCTAATGGCAATGGCAAAATAAACCAAAATATGATTTTCTAATGTTAAAATTGCCATTTTGGGAAACTGCTGAAAAAATTAAATGTCAAAAGCTGTTACATTATTCATTAACCATGTATGTGCTGCGTTTTCTTCAAGTTCATAGTCTTTGTTAAAACTGTTTTCATAAAGGCCTTCTTTTCAACGTCTTCCGTAAAGTTGCCAGAGTTATACCATACATTATCATTAGTGGCGAATACTCCAGACAAGTAGGGAATATTTTGCTTTTTCGTTTCAAAGTATACTGGTGGAGTGCACTTTTGAGAATTGTTGGCCGAGAGCTTTCCAGGTGTATTTGTCTCTGGTTCTAAGGATGAAATTATAAGAAAATTTAAAAACCTATTTATTTGTATGTACAAAAGGGCTTTTTGTCATTTGGTATCAAAAAATAATGAAAAGGCCCTCCATGAAGCTTTAATGTCCTATTCTTACTATTGAAGATGGATTCTACCAATCTATCCCACATGAATTTACTTTGTGAGAATCGTAGCCTTGCCCAAGTGCTTTTTCCTTATTTTTGACATACAAATGCAGATTTTTTATTGCTTGTAGATAGCAAAACTTCCCCACAAATGTTAGCTATTCGAAATCTTGAAGTTGGACAAAATGGTGGACGATTTCAAGACCTAGATATAAATGCTGAATAATTGCCGATATGATGCATTGTTTCCAGTAATCAATCACTCTGTTACATTGGGAAAATTGTTTTGTAAAAGAAAACAAGAGAATTGGTAAGGAAAATGCTGATAAAAGACATATAAGACATTTTGATCTTCAATTCGTCAAGGTATCCAACAAAAACAAAATGGTGGAAAATAGAAAAAATTCAGGACCCAGATATAAGTGCAGAAAAAGGCAGATATGAAGCATTGTTTCCAATAATCAATCTCTTATTACATTGGTAAAAGTGTTTTGTCAAAGAAAACAAGAGAATAGGCAAGGAAACTGCTGACATAGTCCTGATTTTCATTCAATTCATCAAGGTATCCAACTACACAATTTGGAATAGGTGTCAGCTGTGGGTGAGGTTTGCCTTATCAAAGTCAAAACTTTTAAAAAGCAAACCGAGCCCACATTTATGGGGGTAAGTCAAGGTATACCGGCTAAGTTAAGTCAGTAAATCTTTGCTGAAATCCTCATTACTTCAGAAAAACTCAAATCAATTGGGTCTTACAAATAGAATATTGACAGGGACCATTTGCCGATCAATGAGTTATTGTTAAGAGGAAAATTTTACCAAGCCAATGATTTAACAGTACCGTGTCCCTATTTACTATAAGCGATGTATTAGTAAATCTTACAAAAAAATAAATCTTGAGAAATCTTGCAGATTTTAGTCCATGGTATGAAATCTCTAGGACGTCTAATAAAGGAGCTGGTAGCACACTATAGCGCAGCGATATTTGACCTAACATTAACATACCTGCATATGTTATCTAATAATTTTTATTATAACTTATAACATTATTACATGTACAATGAGTATAAAGACACTTAGATTGTTGTTCCAAAGGAATTTAGTCTAGGTGGTCTATTAAACATACAGGTCATGAAAATCTAATTGAAGCAACGGTTATGTCCGCCATTTGTGACAACGGTATCTGACTTTACCGTTGTCATCAGGCTATTCCGGTGTGACTAAACAGTATCATTCAAAGGCATTACGATATCATCAGATGCATCTTTAGGTTTAACGTCAACATTATCGTCACTTTTAATGTGTGAACTGATTGTATAAAATTATGTTATATACTCCTCAAAAAAAGTTAAGGACCTCATAGGTTTACATGTTAACCCCCATATTTGTGTAACAACTGTTTTCTAAGCGGGAACAAAAGAAATCCCAATAAAGAAAATAAATCTGTATCTTGATTCTATTCACTATAAAGTCCGCAACGTTTCAATGTTATATCTCCATTACATTGGGTCAAAATTTGATGTCAACATTGATGAATTTCATGAAATTTAACAAAAATGGCAGATCCCATGTTTAACAAATGGGGAATGGTTAGGTTGCCATAAGTCATATGAGGAACGATCCATCCATCCGATTGCTCTCAAAATTGAGATTGTAAGAGATAATTAAATTTGCTAAATTGTCTACTGACAAAAATATGATTTAATTGTCCAGGCTTTACAAAAGTTAATGGTTTCAAATTCAATAATTTTTTAATGAACCTCTTATTGAAATAACACAGGTGGTTCAGTGAGGTGGTCAAAATTACTTTAACGCTCCGTATCGCTAATTTTAACAACATAAGCGAGACATTTAGCATGTAAAATCATTCAATTTTCTACTTAGAAAGTATTTTTAATAAATGTTTTGTTGCCCCTAAGCCACCATTCCCCATTTGTTTAACATGGGATCTGCCATTTTTGTTACATTTCATGGAATTCATCAATTTTGACATCAAATTTTGACCCAATGTAACGGAGATATAACATTGAAACGTTGCGAACTTTATAGCGAATAGAATCAAGATACAGATTTATTTACTTAATTGGGATTTCTTTTGTCCCCCGCTTAGAAAACAGTCGTTAAACAAATATGGGGGTTAACATGTAAACCTATGAGGTCCTTAACTTTTTTTGAGGAGTATATTTCAAGTTGAGAAGAGTTGTCTTGGGATGAGATGTCTTAGGGATGAGTTGTCTTGGGATGAGTTGTCTTAGGGATGAGTTGTCCTCTTACCCGTGCAACTTGATTGGTCGATTATGGACTGTTAAAGTCATATTTCGTTCATTGCGTTTCTTTTGTTACCGGGCAGAATCAGTGTAAAATATATGCTCAAGCTTCCTACTGCTTCTCCCATAGGCAGGAATCATTTCACCAGTTTAGGTGAGTAGGAGCTTGCTCCACAACTGGGCTGCCAACGTTTATGGATTAATTTTTTAAGAGTATTAATGTATTTGGCAATAAAATAAATTTGGTTGGGAACGCAATTACTTAAGTTTTATATTTCTTGACTGTGTATAACATTTTGATGGTTTCACCCTGTGGTCCGGTGATGCAGTAATAAAATAGGTGAATAAGTCGTGTCATTAACTTTGGGTTAACTGTTACACGGTTTCCCTTCCTATAGAATGACGTCATCACTGTTAACCAGAACAACAGCAACGCCAAAGCGTAGCGAATCCCATCGAACAGCCATGGAAGGCATTTTTACAAACAAAGTATATAGCAAAAATGGCAGGCATTTTTCAAAATGGCCGCCTTCTACCAAAAGTGTCATTAGACCATTTGCCATACTTAAAGTATTCACGAACCAAATATGAACAAAATCGCTCCACTACTTTTCGAGTTACAGTAAAATATGTTAAAATGGCGGCCATTTTTCAAAATGGCCACTTTCTACTAAAAGTGTCATAAGATAGTGTGTTTTATGCTTTTAGTATTCACATACCAAATATGAACAAAATCGCTCCACTACTTTTCGAGTTATAGTAAAATACGTTAAAATGGCGGCCATTTTTCAAAATGGCCGCCTTCTACCAAAAGTGTCATTAGACAGTGTGCCATCCTTATAGTATTCACATACCAAATGTGAACAAAATCGCTTCACTACTTTTCAAGTTATAGTAAAATAGGTTAAAATGGCGGCCATTTTTCAAAATGGCGGCCATTTTTCAAAATGGCGGCTATTTTTTAAAATGGTCACTTTCTACCAAAAGTGTCTTTAGACAGTGTGCAATGTTTATAGTATTCACATACCAAATATGAACAAAATCGCTCCACTACTTTTCGAGTAAAATAACGAGTAAAGGCCGGAATTTTTCAAGATGGCTGCCATGTGCTTCTTTAATATCTACATTTCTAGCTTTATTAATGTCCTATATAATTTTTTTACATCTAAAACATATTGCTATTACAGTTTTACATATTGCACCTAAATTACTGTAAATTCGGCACTAAAATGGCTGCCATTTTGGAATGAGCGGCCATTTTGAAAATTGGCTTTCAAGCAGAACTTCTACCCCCATAGGGTATATGTGTACAAAATATGAACAAAATCGGGCCAACGGTATTTGAGTTATTGCCCGGACGGACGGACGGACGGACGGAGGCGTTCCCTATATCCCTCCGAACTTCGTTCGATGGGATAATAATTATATAGCATTTACCTAAAGATTGTCTATGCTATTTATTTTTCATTAAACATACGTCATAATCTAAGACATGCTCACACAGCGTGATATTGAATTTATGCAGAAAAAGCTAAATAACAATCTTAGTTTATTATTTAGGTAATATAATTCATGTTTCCTCCTTTAAATAATTTACATTTCTAAACCAAAATATATTGCATCATGGGTAAATATTAAATAAGGTTGGCCATATCTATTTCCATAAGCTTCAAAACAAGACATACACATGCAAATTATATCGGGCACCATACAAGGTCGAATGAGGCTCGAAATTTACGAGCAATTACAGGCCTTGTTACTGGAAATTACATGGGTTGTAAATTACGGGTTCTAACAGGCCTCATAATCACAAGCCAGGTTATCATGCATCATCTAAAACTGTGGCCAAAAGTGATCAGATAAATAAGTTGACTGAACTGTCCCAAAACCATAGCCATAGCCATAACCATATGAGTCAACAGTTTTCGCTTTACTATGAGAAGCGGGACCTGGATTCGGCTTTGCTTTTTTGTTATTTTCAGTTTCACTATCGCTTATTGTTTGTTTTCTTTTATTGTTACTTGTGTCTTGTTCTATTCCAGCTAGTTCAACTGATTTATTTTTCTTCTTTGATTCATTGTTTGTAAGTCCTCTTGGATATTCGCCTATTGAGACATCATACTCCCATTGCGAATGCACCAGTTTATAGATCTCCATAGTCGCCTGGGAGTCCTCAATGGAACTATGACCCTTTTTTCCAACTTGGATATCACGATCTGAAAAATGAGGAAATATTTTTAGTGATCCTTACATCAAAATGAGTCAGAAAATTTACATCATAAGGGTCAGAGATAACAAAATGGTAGTACTCAGAATGTGGAGAGAGTAAATGTACATTTCAACAGCCATTTTTTACTTAATGGAGTGCAACTTAACACAAACTTTTTTGATGGAATTATCACGAAAGAAGATCTGGATCAAGCTGGCATCAATTATCCTTTTCATATTGATATGGGGAACAAAAACAAGAACGCTTGTGCATCAGTTTAGAATGACCTTGATTTCTGTTTTGTAATATTTTACTCATCTACATATCAATAGATCAATAGATTTTGGTTTCTAATTTTTCATTCACTTACATTGAAGCGAGGTTGACGATACATGATGTATGTCACGTTATCAATTAATGATTAAGTACAAAAAGGGAGCATGTGAATGGTGTCTAGAAAATATTAAAATCAGATTCAGAGAGAAATACACTTCAAATCTTTAGGGGAGGCATCAAAAGTTCAATGTCGGATAGAAAACTAAATAAATCTAGTTAGGGGGGAGGGGGTTCAAACCCATTTCAGTTTGCTATCCGACAAATTTCAACATTTCAAATTTTTGGCAATTTCGACTCAGAATGCTTGGAATGGTTTAAAAATAAAGATTTTACCTGATGCTTTCTTCGTCAAGATCATTCCAATGGATTCTTTCTATCAATAGTTGTTAAAAGCCGCAAATAACGATAGGAATTACCAAAAACTAGATCGTGTTTAGCAATAATTTTTCAAATTCTCAAACCAGAAGTCAGCGATCAACTCTCATGGTATTTAGTTTTTTGGGGTCAAAGTCAAAACTAGATTTATTTAGTTTCCGATCCGACATTGAACTTTTGATGCCTCCCCTTAGCTCACAGAAACCAATGGTACAATAATATTAAAAAACACAATATACTCTTCTTTTCAACCCACTAAGACAATCAACATTGGCTTGTTTTTGAAGTTTAGCATATTTAGAAAAGATTGACACACATATTTTTTTAAAAAAATTTCAAAAAAGTTTTGACAACAGTACTGAGTGACATGACATGTTGCGAATATTTTAACCTCTTGAATCCCAGGCTCTAAAATTGGCATGAAACCAGAGAATTTTTCATTTTTTGCCACCTTTTGACATTTTATTACATACCTATACAATTTTAGATGCTCAGCTTAGTAAAATTGGATGGCAGAGATCATTTCTACACATTTTAAAACAATTTTTGTGTAAATTGGATGAAAATTGTTAAAATGAGAGCAATTTTTGTGAAAAATTTTGTGACGGATTTTCTCGTCCCTCTGGGCACCAGTCTTATTTCATTTGTGACGGATATATCCGTCACTCTGGGTATTCAAGAGGTTAAATGTGTTAAAGCATAAAAAGTGGCACATTTGATATGATACCTTATTACTGAAATAGTGTGTCCTTTGTTCAATTTTTGCAATGGAGTTGCCTTTTTTACCTTCAATATGTTGCCATGGTAACAGATATTGGCAGAAATGTGTTGGAAGTTACTCATAACATGTTTACTTGTTACTTTACTGTTGACAGTTAAATTTGAAGTCAGTCTATACAGTACTTGTTAAGAATTTGTTACAGATGCCGACTGCCAAACACCAATCACCAAATGCTGGGCACCAACTGCCAAACAATGTCCAAAAAAAGATTGTGAATCTAACAATATGTCATATTTCTCAAGGATTTTTGATTTTTTAACTTTTGAATACAAAATGATCCAAATCTTCATCTTTTGGACTAAATTTAGGTCAACCTGGAGCCTTCAATCCCTAGGGAAACTAAAGAAAAGGTATCCCAAAAAATTATGAAAGTGATACCTCTGTAGAGCTTCTGAAAAATCGCTTAGATGTACATACAGATGCTGCTATGCTGACAAAATGTCCCTGCACTGGAGTCATTTTGTCATAAAAATGAATGCTTTAATATCAATTTTCTAAATGGTTACATACTACTAAATTTACCTAGTAAAGCTTTTGCCAATTTCTTGAGTCCTGCCTGGCCACGAGGAGACATCCCTGCCATCTTTTTCAGGGGAATGTATTTATCAGTGTCTCGTGTATCACACAATGGGTGTTGAATTTTTAGCACTCGAAAGTCATTGCTCAATGCATGTCCTACTACAATCTTTCCCTGAAAATACAAAGGAACAATTAGATGGTTTAGTGAGTATAAGTAGTAAGACTAAAGCTCACTTTGTGCGCGTAAGAGCGATTTCATTGACTGGGAGGGCCCTCCATGGCCCTTGTGACTCCTCCTCACCTATACAACAACTCTAAGTGAGAAGGTGTTCAGTCAAGTAGAAGGGGGGGGGGGGTCACAGAAGCTTTTAGCTTGTACTACTGAACTGTCAGACGAGAAATAATTTTCAAAATGACCACCATATTGAGAACTGCAAAAAACTGTAGCATTCTTGCGTGTATTTAGATAGTGCAAAAAATATAACTGAAATTATTCAGAGTGTTGACAAAAAAGTAAAATGACCCATAATAAAAACAGTTTCCATTTTTCAAAATGCTGTACTGTAGAAACACTTAATTTGATGTTTAACTTAATTTGGCAGATTTGCTCAATTTCAAATATTGGTGGCTATTCAATTTGGCGGAGTCGGGACTGAGCTCAAGTTTTATCATAGGTCTGGAAATAAACATTTCAGATTCATGTGTTCTGCTTTCAGTAAGCACTGACATCCTAATAGGAATACTTACACAAGTCAAATAATTACAAATTACAAATTCTCTGGGGATTTTCCAAAATAGATCTGAAAATTGGCGGATTTTTAATTTGGCGGAATCCGCCAAATTAAAACGGTAGCAAAATTAAGTGTATCTACAGTATTTACTGTATCTCACAAACGTTGTTCAATTTAATGGCTTCAATGGGATAGTAAGCAAGATTCATCAAATATTATAATTTACCTGAATGATTTTTTTGATAGCATTAAGAGCATGCTCTATCGGAACGGCATTTCTCATATCTGATCTCCTGATCCCTGACCATCTGGTTCTGTAGTGGGTAATTGGCAGATCGGGCTTAGCATAGATATCTAACAAGACCTCTCCTGACCAGCCTACAATACTACAACGACCTGAAATGATAAAATAGATTTATATATATAATTATATTTGAAGAGGTTCCAGTGTTCTCCCCAAAAAAATGTTCAACTGGGTGCAATCTTTCAAGTCTTAAAAAAATCGGCCCTGGCCTCGCCACGCTTGCACTATCTCCAGGTGGCAGCTAACTTCACTCATTTTTCAAATCAGAAGTTGAAGGGGAGGGTGCCAACTGGGTGGCCTTTGGTTTCAAGTAGGGGGGGGGGGGGGGTAAAAGTGACATGGGGAGATCACTGGGTTCATTTGGGTATATTACCGTTTGATAAAAAGAAGACATACATTAACAATGTACTGATGTTTCATTGGCATTCAGAAAGGGCAATCTAGAATGGGATGACTGTATTGGGAACCCATTCTAAAAAATTTGAACAAGGGATTTTCAAAGGATGGAATAGATAGATCAATGATCAAATGTAAGTTTTTGTGGCTAGTGCACCATGAAATTTTATCGAATTTAATTTTTTTTCCAGTATCGCATGAATTTAATTCACCAATCATACTTCAATTTTTTGGAAATGCCACTTACCTAAAGCACTTGTATCATTTGGTGGCACTCCTACAAATTCACAATCAAGAGCCACATAGTCAGCTTCTGAACGTATCCACCTGCTTGGTTTACCCTTGATGCTTGGTGCTGCACTAGTGAGCATACAGTTTTTATCCACAGCACTGCTACTACCTTCTCCCGGATCATTATCATAAGATGGTCCTATCTTTGTTTGGTCAATATCACTTATAGCTTCGAGTGAGTTAGTCTCTATATAGGGTATTTTACTTGGACTCCTTTTTATGAGGTTTTTATCTTCCTCTTGATCATTGCATTTAATCTTTGTCTGATCCATGACATTTGAAGGTTCAGGTTTAGATCCCTTAAGCTGGTGAGTTATCTTTATTTGCCTGAGGAAAGCTCGCTTCAAACGTTGCTCGATTTTAAGCCGTGATTTTTTGTCAGTGAAATCACATAACACTATAGCTCTATTAGGTGGCATGTGTGTTCTTAGTATCCTTAATGCACAGTACAGGATGGAAGCTGGAATTAGAATAACAATGATAAATATCATACAAGGAAAAGCATAGTAGTGTAATTTACAACATGAGTAATGCATAAAAATGTCACCTGTCGACTCAGTCCCATATCCGTCATCTCAGCTACAATAAAGTGGTTTTAAAAGCTCAAATAAAAGATATCACCTAATTCTTTGGTACCATCATCTCAATCTGAGTGCTGTCATTTCATTTTCTGTAACCCATCAACTCAGTTTATCTTACCCGTCACCTCAATTTCTCTAAGGCCAAAGGCTGTAGGTTCATATTTTGCCAATCAAAGCATGACAATTTTTACATGATAGACCAATCACAATTATCGGTAATTTCGGGAAATGATGTGACGGTCTTGAATTGGTACCCTTTGCATTCGTTCAACTTCCCTTCTTAAAAGAGAGCTTCATCTTCAATCTTTCAGCTTACAATAAATTGCTGAACTCACCGATCCATTCGGAGTTCATCGTCAAAGTATGTATGACTCTCTATATATGGTTATTTACTCTGACGTCATCGCATAGTTAATGAGCCCGCATTTAGCATTTGTTCCTTCCAGCTTGCTGATTGGTTTAGAAATGATGCATGGTCAGTTTGAAACGAGATATGACCCGGGCTTACTCACTTCGAAAGCCATGTTAGATTTTGAAACTTATGGCTCTCCAACAGAGAAATGGACAGCTGAATAATAGTGATCTTTGAAACACGAATTAAGTCGATCCGTGACTTACTTTTGTTCTCTAACTATGTCAAACATCATTATCATCCGTCCGTGCAAGTATTGGAGCGCTGAAACACTTCCTTTTCGATTAAGACTTGTAATTGTTAGTCGAGTGAATGTTTTTTCTGCCAAATTCCAATACTGTAAAACGGGTATTGTTAGCGAGGGGTAATTGTTAGCGATTGTTAGCGATCGCTATAGTTTCGCTAAAAATTCAATTCGCTAAAATAAACCGGGGTTAAAATAAACCAGGCGCTAAAATTTGCAAATTCCCGGGAAACAACAAGAATACTAGTATTTAAGGAGCGTTTCGTTCAGTGCTCGACCGAAAAATCAACGATTTTAAATGCTACCGTGATTTTGTGATTAGTCAGATGAGATTACAGTAGTTTGGACCAATACCATGTGCGTTAGAAGTCTTACATTTTGATAATTCCTCTGTCATGTCTGTTATTGATTCTTCTGCCATAAATGATACAATTTCTAATGCATTTCGCTAATTTGATTTTTTAAAGATTAATCTTCATTTCGCTTAAATTTCCCGCGCTAAAACCCCCTAAAATTGAAAAATCGCTAAAATTTCCCGGTGTCAAAATTACCCGTTTTACAGTATGACATTTTCTGCTCGGACATTTTCGTAAATCTCCGGAGGTTGTCCGAACCAACACGCCCGGTGATCGTACAAAATGGATGGAGGGGGGATTAGGCGATTTCTGCAAGAAAACTCAACAAATTCAGAAGATTTATTTTTTCAAGAGAAAATTTACAACTGAATTGCCAAATGAATAGGCGCATGGCAAAACATGTTAGGTCATCTATCATTAGTATTGTGATAATAATGTCCCTTAAACCTATTTATTACAGGTCGTGTAGACTATTGTTGCCCGATTTATAGCAAAAACATTGACTTTTGCACGTTGGTGGTGATGCGCCTTTTTTAATAGATCTCATATCTTAGAAGGGTATCAGTTCAAAAAAAATACTAGATGAGCTAACATATTTTGCCATGCACTGCGCTTATTCATTTCATTTGGCAATTCAGTTGAAAAAATAAATCTTCCGAATTTGTTAAAGGCCCCATATAAAGTTTAAACCACTTTGGCTTATATTGTAGTCTTACCCAATGTTATCAAAGTGTGATATGTGAAACTTTTTTTTTAAATTTCAAAAAGTGGTTTTTGATAGACTTTTTGTTCCAAAATTTGTGAATTCATTTAAAACCAACTTTTAGAGGTCACTCATATCTTCTAATTAGCCACAATTTATGCCAATGTATAGCATTCATCCTCCCATGTTTTTGCCGAAAAAATTAAGAAAATCGGTTCATAAATAAGCGAGAAATGAACTTATCAGTGCATGAAAATGGTTCTGAGAAAAATGCATTTCAAAATTTTAGTTCTCATAGAAACCAATGGTACAATGATATCTAAAACATAATTTATTCTTCCTTTTAACCTGGTTAGACAATCAACATTGGTTTTTTATGAAAGTCTAACATATTTAGAAAAGATTGACATTGAAAAAAAAATTTCAATTTTTTTCAAAAAGTTTTTGGTACCTTAGGGGAGGCATCAAAAGTTCGATGTCGGATAGAAAACTAAATAAATCTAGTTAGGGGGGGGGAGGGGGTTCAAACCCATTTCAGTTTGCTATCCGACAAATTTCAACATTTCAAATTTTTGGCAATTTCAACGCAGAATGCCTTGGAATGGTTTAAAAATAAAGATTTTACCTGATGCTTTCTTCGTCAAGATCATTCCAATGGATTCTATTCTATCAATAGTTGTTAAAAGCCGCAAATTACGATAGGAATTAACAAAAACTAGATCGTGTTTAGCAATAATTTTTCAAATTCTCAAACCGGAAGTAAGCGATCAACTTTCACGGTATTTAGTTTTGGGGGGGAGGGGGGGGGGGTCTGAGTCAAAACTAGATTTATTTAGTTTCCGATCCGACATCGAACTTTTGATGCCTCCCCTTAGTGACATCACTAATGTTTCAAAATATTTTTGATATGCTAAAACATTGAAGTGGCCCATTAAATATGGCATTTTATTATTGAAATAGTGTGTCCTTTGTTCAATCTTTGCATTGGTGTTAAAAAGATAATCTTTTTTGAAATGCATTAAGAAATATTTGATGATTAAGAAATTTCAACTTTTTTTGAAAAATGGCGGGAAATTTGAATAATTGAGAAATGAAATGCTCACAACTTTTTTTTCCCAAATTTTTTTTTGTTCAAAAATCTCTAAAATCACTTTCTAAGTCCTGACAAATAGTAAATGAATGATAAAAAATATTTTCAAACTTTAGACGGGGACTTTAAGAGTTTTCTTGCGGAAATCGCCTAATCCCCCTCCATCCATTTTGTACGATCACCGGGCGTGACCCAACTCATTCTCAAAATTCATGCGTATAGCTCCTAGCAAACCGCCTTATTGGAAATGGGTCGAAAAAACATTCACTCGATAAACAATTAGAAGTCTTGATCGAAAAAGAAGTATTTCAGCGCTCCAGTACTTGCACGGATTGATGATACTGATGTAAGACACAGTTAGAGACTTTTATTCATGTTTTAAAAGTCACGATTATTCAGCTGTCCTGTAACGACCCTTGATACCAAGTTGCTACTACGGCCCAGCTGTAGTGGCTTAAGCCTTTATAGCTCAGTCGGTAGAGCATCAGTCTTAGGATTCAAGGGTCCTAGGTTCGATTCCCACACAGGGCATTGAATTTAGCACACTTTCTTTCAATTTCTTTATCTGGCTTGTTACACTATGCTCGTTAGTTAGTCATTCCCCTGGGGCGCCCTCGGGTCATTACATTGGTGTCAGATGTGGGATCAGAGCATTGGTTGTATCCTTTGCGCCCTTGTGTATATGGTAGTCACTGCTAGGGAAGCAGCAGGGCTGACCACGAGGGCGTGGTCCTTTCAAAGGGGGAGATAGTGAAACGACCCTTGATACCAAGTTGCTACTACGGCCCAGCTGTAGTGGCTTAAGCCTTTATAGCTCAGTCGGTAGAGCATCAGTCTTTGGATTCAAGGGTCCTAGGTTCGATTCCCACACAGGGCATTGAATTTAGCACACTTTCTTTCAATTTCTTTATCTGGCTTGTTACACTATGCTAGTTAGTTAGTCATTCCCCTGGGGCGCCCTCGGGTCATTACAGTCCAAGTGCGCCATGGGAAAGCTATTATATCAAAATCCACATAGCTTTCACAGGAAGTAAACCCGGGCTGTCGTAGAGGCGGGCCTATTATACTGTAATAGAGTCTATAATAGGCAGAGTGTATTCTATAGCTAAACTCTGCACGCAGGGTATTGAATTGGATTGAGTTAAGGTACAGCTGGAAAGTAACATTTTGGTAAAAAATTGCTATACCTGCACATGTTATTTTCTGGTACAAAATAAAGTATGAAGGCATGTATCAATTTCCTTGCTTTTTTCAGGAAAGTATCATTACATTGTCTTCTTTTAGAATATCTGATAGGCGTTCAAAGGGAACTCCAGGGAATTCTGATATTTCACACTTCCTGTTTTTCCAAATTTTCTTTCAAAGTTTCCAGACAACACAGGAGCTACCATTGACCTGTTTCCAGGTTTACTAAAAGTAGACAGTGTAATGATACTTTCCTGAAAAAAGCAAGGAAATACACACAAATCATCACTTCCTGAAGTATTATACACCACTACTATAGAGTTTTGCATTATCTGAATGCGATTCACTTCTTTCCAATCCAAAATGAAATTCTTCTTCTTCTTCTTAGTCCTTTTCAGTGTTCCTTATAAGGTGTTCCGGGATCACTTTGGCATTATTATGCTGCCTTTGATCACTTGTTGCTGTTTTTAAAACTCATGTACTAAAAATATCACTTGTACTTTTCACTTGTGCTTATTTTACTTCTGTTGGGAGAGAGAGCGCTAAAACTTGTTATCTAACGTAGTCTAAAATGCAAGTGTTTTTCCATTAAAATGAGATGTTAAAATAGAGTCACTATCTCACTTGAGTTAAAAATAAGTTATTAAAATCTCTTGGATTTCTGTATAAATGCCTGCAGGCATTTCATAATTTCTTTATTTAACTTATGGTCCAGGCTTGTGTTGAGTCCTGTGATTGTTTGTAGGTCTAGAGCTGGATTGTATTTAGCTCCTAGTAGTATCTGTTGCACTTTGGCCAATAGAATCTCCCTCTCTTCCTGGAACTTAGAGCAAGCAAAGATGTAATGTTCAACTGTCTCTGGTATGTTACAGTGGTCACAGTTGGGAGATAAAATATCGGGGTTAATTCTATGGTGATGGCCATGTAAACGGGTGTGCCCAGAAATAATTTGGTTACATATATTTCTATAATACCTAGTTCCTGTCTTTACAATTGGACTTTTCAATTTAACCTTAGGAATTAATTCCTGAACAAAGTTCACCTTGGTGGAGTTGTTATACCTATTTTGCCATTTCTCTAAAGCGTTACATTTGATATTATTATAAGCTACAGACTTAGATGTTTTACAGTCAGTGAGAGATTTGGCTGCCAATGCTGCTTTCTTGGCAGTTTTATCCGCAACTTCATTCCCTTCTGTCCCTTGGTGACCTGGGACCCAGTAGACTTCTAAGGTTTTGTTCTGTAAAGATAGCAGTTTGCAGGCTTTCCTTGTGTCAATAATGTCCTCTGTGATGCTTTTACACTTGGTAGTAATAAAAGATGCTGTTATAGCGGGTTGGCAGTCTGACAAGAGCAGGATGTTGCTGCTAGTCTTTATTGTTGTCAGATATTCTACCGCCATCTTTATTGCTACCACTTCCCCATAATAGTTGTTACCTATGAGGGAGACTGGTTGCTCAAGACATATAGGTGTAGATTTAAGTCCACCCACATAAACCACTGCAGCAGCTCCCGAAGGACCAGGATTCCCATAGGCTGACCCGTCTGTGAAGACTATAGTCCTACCGTCCGGCTGTTCACTAAGCACTGAGCTTATTCGAACACTTTGGGCGGACTTTGTGTTGGCAAAATCTTCGTCATGGATGGTTGCCTTCGTAGGTTGGAAGATGTCTACATCCTGGTGATGGTAATAGTGCTGTATATAATTGTTAGGTTGTGTGGGGCATCTATGAAGTCTCAGTCTGGCTGTTATGATATTAAAGCAGGAGGGGGTCTTCTCAGTTTGAGATGACCCACCCCATCTCAAAAATTCCCTGGCAATGGGGTCTGACTCAGTGTGGGTAGCTATTCTCACACCCTCTTGAGCCTGCCTGCTTCTTAGTAAAATATCAAGCGGTAGTACACCAGCCAGTACTTCTAATGAGTCAGTGCTAGTTGAGTTGAGGCATCCGGTTGCTCTAAGTAGTGCTGCCCTCTGGACTGGTGCATAGGCAGAAACAGCTTTCTCGGTAACTGCAGCCAGAGCACTAATGCTGGTTTCGAAGTGCGGTATCACCAACGCTTTGTACAGCATGGTGAATACCTCTTGGCTACAGCCCGATTTGCTTGAAGTGAAATTGTTTATGCCCGCAAGAGCACCGAATGCAGATTTTTTCTTATTTTCGATATGTAGATTAAATTTAAGTTCGTTATCTATGGTGCATCCAAGAATCTTCTTGTGGGACACCACCTGGAGTTTCCGGCCGTCGATAAAGATATTAATATCGGGGCTAGTGATACCAGGTGGACTGAAGACCATTACCTCGGTTTTTTCAGGGGCGATCTCCATGTTCCATCTTTTGCACCATTTGTTGGTTAATTGATTCAAGTCCGTGTTGATGAGTTTCTCTGTCTCTTTCAAGTCAGCTCCACATGCCCATATTGTGTTGTCATCTGCAAAGCCAGCCTTCTCCGACCCTATGTTGTCCATGGAGTCTGCCGTGTAGAGATTACAGAGAAGCGGAGACAACACGGACCCCTGAGGGATGCCCACCACTGATGGCAGTAGGGGAGTAGTGTGGTTGTTGACAGATATAGAGAATTGCCTATTAGTTAAGTATTCACTGATGTACACTAACAGGCGTCCATTGATTCCCTTCTGGGCTAGTTTGTAGATGAGCCCCTCCCTAAACACCCGTTCAAAACAGCTCTCGTAATCTAATACTGCTGCGATGACATATTCTCCTCTATTCCACGCCTCCTGGATGGACTGCACCAATCTAATCACAGTCTGTGAACAGGATCTATGTTCCCTGTAAGCATCCTGGAAGGCACAGTAAGAGGATGTAGTCTCGCTTATCCATGATAACCTTGGGCTGACTACCCTTTGTAGGATTTTCCCAACTTGAGCTTCAAGTGTTATAGGGCGATAGGATCTGTCTGAATTATAGTTATTTTTGTTAGGTTTACCTAACATGATCTTTGGATCAATTCTAAATTCCTGGGGAAGCTGACCTTCCGCCCAGCATTTCTGTGAGAGAAGCCAAATTGATTTATGTAGTGTGATCCCCCTTTTTTGATAAAAATACTCAAAATTTTTTCCCTAGGACTAGGCGCAGTTTTAGCTGGTGTTTTCTCAATAGCTGCTATTATTTCATCAAATTCTATGTCCTTGTTAAAAGGTTCGCAAGTCTGATTGTAATTACTGTTTTTAATTTTGATTTTTTCAAGTTGGACAGATTCTTTGGCCTTTCTCACAACAAAGTTGTACCATTCATCATACCGCTGTACTGGCAGATGTTGCTTGCCATATTGCTTAACCATAGTTTCTGCAATGTCCTCATCGGTATGATGAATGTTACCATTTCCATCTATAATTGGTTGGACTATTTTCTTACCCTTTTTGGTTTGAGTTTTCATTACAGTTTTCCATATCATATTTGGGTTACCCAGATCAAGCTCTTCGAAGAGATCATCCCAATAGCTAGATTCAGCTTTATGTGCACTCTCTGCGAACTCTTCTGCGAGCCTGGTATAGGTTTCCCAATTATGAGGGTCACTGCGCTTGTTATAACGGCGTTTTGCCCTTCTCAGAGCTTTAACTTGTTGATTTAAATTGTCGTTCCACCACCCTTTGCTCTTAGAACAAACTTTTTTCTTAGGTATGATGTCGTTTATGACTTTGAGCATTGTCGAGCATAGGGAGGTGTAAGCTTACAATGAAAAATTATCACTCGAATGAAGTTTTGATGGGCGATAATAGAGTAAGGCTAGCATATGCTAGAGTCTGTCTAGGTCTGTGGTTATTTCAAACTTCTGTATCTCAATTGAGTCAATGTTTTAAATGCTTACCTCAGGATATATATATATAAATTAGATATATATACATAGATTAGTGGGGAAATGTCAAGATTATGAAACACGTTTCCTGGATCCGATTGAAATCCCGGCTGCGGTTCCATGTAAGCAGTCACGAGCTAAAATGTCACGGCACTTAGCCATTTCTAACCATGCAACATGTATACTGTACATTGCTACACATTGCTACACTGTGTCAAGCACCTATACATAGGCTGGAAAGCGGGGTAAACGGGGTACATATCCTTACCTGTATACTCTACATTGCTACACTGTGACAAGTCAAGCTATGTGGTTGATCGAAGCATCCTATAGCTCCCATATTAAACGTATCTACCTAATTGAACATAAAGCTGTCAGCATTAACATTAAAAGGTCATGTAAGGTCACGCCACTGTGTTGGAGAATTGTAGCCAGCCGAAATTTGATACCTTTTTAATCTTTTAAATTGCTTCTAGCACAAGATAGCTTCGAACATGCGTTTAGGCCAAAATAGCTTGGCTTGGGCAGCTTCTACACATACCATGGAGGTGGGGTAAGCGGGGTAAGCGGGGTGCATACCTTTACATGTATACTCTACATTGCTACACATTGCTACACTGTGTCAAGCACCTATACATAGGCTGGAAAGCGGGGTAAGCGGGGTACATACCTTTACATGTATTCTCTACATTGCTACACTGTGAGGCAGCTTCTACACATGCCATGGAGGTGGGGTAAGCGGGGTGCATACCTTTACATGTATTCTCTACATTGCTACACTGTGAGACAGCTCCTACACATACCATGGGGTAAGCGGGGTACATACCTTTACATGTATTCTCTACATTGCTACACTGTGAGGCAGCTTCTACACATACCATGGAGGTGGGGTAAGCGGGGTAAGCGGGGTGCATACCTTTACATGTATACTCTACATTGCTACACATTGCTACACTGTGTCAAGCACCTATACATAGGCTGGAAAGCGGGGTAAACGGGGTACATACCTTTACATGTATTCTCTACATTGCTACACTGTGAGGCAGCTTCTACACATGCCATGGAGGTGGGGTAAGCTGGGTGCATACCTTTACATGTATTCTCTACATTGCTACACTGTGAGACAGCTCCTACACATACCATGGGGTAAGCGGGGTACATACCTTTACATGTATTCTCTACATTGCTACACTGTGAGACAGCTCCTACACATACCATGGGGTAAGCGGGGTAAGCGCCGTTTACATGTATTCTCTTCATTGCTACACTGTGAGACAGCTCCTACACATACCATGGGGTAAGCGGGGTAAGCGGGGTACATACCTTTACATGTTACATAGAATATATTAGTTACTACATTGTTTCAAGCTCCTACGTGTATACATAAACACTGTACATTGCTACATTGTGTCAGGCACCTATACATAACCTGGGAAGCGGGGTTAACGGGGTACATATCCTTATGTATATCTTATCCATATTAAATGATTTGTTTACACAATGTTGCATTAGTTGTGTGGATGTACACTAAAAAACTTACATTTTTTTGTTTTGGTTTGACTCCCAAATAACTATATAAAGTATGGACATTTATTTAATTGGTTTTTAATAAATAATCCTGTCTGGTTGTGATATAGTCATTTCACAGATACATCTACATAAAGCCTTGCCTGTGTATTTGTAATAATAACTAGTAAAAAACATTTCTTGAATATTGGGTACTTACTAAAGTGAATGAAGCTTATGTGTAACTATGTTTATTAAGAATGGTAATAAATTTAATTGTTATGAAGAATGTTGATATTATTCTTATAAAATGCACCTTTTACCAATGTATTCCTAGTAACCTTGCGTTGTGCGCCGTGCGTTAACATTTCATTGATTAAAAGTGCAGTTCATTTCCATTTTTTATTTTTACCAGAATGACGTTAAAAACTGACACATCTTGAATATTATTTATTAAATTTTGTTGGTGAGGACGTATTTATTGTTATGTTCATAATGGGAGCCAGGACTCGTATAGATGGCAGTTAACTACTAGGTTGTTCTCTACAACTAGCCCATTGGTTTATGTGTAAATATTGCTGTTTTGAAACTTCAAATTCTCTGCATATATCAAATAAATATCATATTTTCCTTCATCATTATTTTAATTTACAAACATGATTTAAGATTCACAATTAGAAGTTTTGGATATTTTCAATAAAATTTATCTGTGTCAATATATATCTATCTACCTGTTATTTAATTCGTAAATACTTTAAAACACTAGAGAGATTTCGCACATAAGTGAAAGTACAACTTATACGTATACGTATACTTTAAAGGGTCATGTCGAACTATTATATTTACTAAAATCAATTTCAAATTGTACTTAATGGAACATAACTATTCCCGATATAGAAAAGCTCCATCAACTAGAAACTGTGAATGCACGTGTAGATTATGCACATTATACTTAACGAAGTGTCTGGAGTACCTTAAAATTTAAGGCTCTTTAGCCAAAATGCTAAAGAGCCTTAAAATTTAAGGCTATTTAGCTGTGAACATAGTGTTTTGGCTAGAGAGCCTTTGTGTTTATAATCCGTGTTTATATTGTTTTTTATTGAAGTTTTCGTCTTCTAAACAATAAAACAACACTCTCGAAAGTTTTTCAACCCGGAATGCCACTTAAAAATTTAACACATGTATATCAGCATAGAGTTGCAAAAAAATTAGTCCTATCATGGTAAACACTCTAGTATAGTGGTTAGGGTGCTCGCTTTTCACTTCTGCGGCGTGGGTTCGATTACCCGATGGACCACTTTTTATTTTGAATAACAAGCCGGAAGTTTGTTTTCTGATGTCCGGAAATTATGCACACAATTTTTTCTAGAATTCTTGGGCTTGCTCCATCACTCAATCATCAAAGTTTAATGAAATTAATCACTTGTATTGGCTTTGCTATAGTCACGAGAATACAGGGAATCCCATTTTAAGATGGCAAAAAGTATGATGAAGACCTGGGGATAAAAAAGGATCTTGTTTCTTCTAGATCAGCACATCTTGACGAAGTTTATCGTGAATGCAGGGACATCAGCCCAGGGACATCACAGAATACACTTCCAAATATATTGCCCATTAGATTTCAATGCTGATTTTAGAATTTTTCATGTGACGAGATATTTTTGCATAATATTTTCCTCACAAGTGAGAATTTTTAAAAGCACATGAGAGAGCACAAAGAAAATTTACAGTACAAGACGTGAACTGTCGAGGAAACAGCGGCTTATGCAACACAACAACAACATTTTTATCCTAGCCTCCAATCCATCAATGAATGTCTATACATCAAAATCTTTACTAAACGGACCTTGCGATTTATAGAGGATAAAATGGAAAAAACAACATTTTTCTGGCTATACGTGATTGCCTGGTCTTACACCTTCTCTGGTGAACCAGAGACATATATTTTCGATATATGCATGAACATCAAACAAACATTTACTTTTCAAAATCGATGTTTGAACCTTTAAAAACCCAAATTTAGACTGAGGATTGAAAACATTCTTTTATTTCTCTCGGTAGACCGGAAGTAAATTTATGAGTCGAGCAAAAAGTGATAATGTTTTTTTATGAAGTGAAGAAGTCAAAACAGTACTAATAGAAGTCATAGTAAGCATTAGAAGATCATTTAAAACCATATAAATCAAATCGACGGCAAAGTTAGTTGAAATGACTGAAATCTTTATATGTTCGTAAAGGCTAGAGTACCGACAATTGTCGATTTTCGAATTTTCTGGCGCATGCGCAATGCGCGGGGGGATATTTCAGATATCATACGGATATTTTGGGAACAAGTGCAAAACCCGGGGAGGGCTTAGCCCCGGTTACCCGGGGATTGCCAAACCCAGTCAAAAAATGGTAGCCCGGGAACGGGGAATGGTAGTAAACGTTGAAAACCCAATAAAAAACATGAACAAGTAAGACGTTAGAGAGCTATTAATGCAGAGTAAACGGCTATATATATTCTAAACAGACAGGATATTTCTCCTGAGCCGATCAGGCGTAGAAAGGGGCGTTTGCTACCCATTAGATAGAAGAAAATAGCTAGAATGTTTTTTATTTGAAGCTTATGGTATGAGGTTCCATATCCATCCGCCAAAAGGTATGTAGTCCATTTAAAAACCTGTGGTATCATTCTAAATAACCCATAGTTGGCTTCTAGGGTACCTAGTATGCCACTATTTGGTATCAAAATAAAGAGGAGTTCAACTTTCATTTGAATTACGAAAATAGCGATGTAGGTGAAAATAGTTCCGAACGTGAGCATGTTTACTACGCGTTTGCCCGTCATATCAGAATTGAGGAAGTGGTAGCAAACGCAAGTTACAATAAACGGACGCTGATATCTCAAAAAGTAACCCGACTCCCTATCCCAATTGAAAAATAAAACTAATCACCAACTTATTACCAACTAATTTACAACTAATTATCAACAATTCTGCTGGCAATTGGAATTAAAGTTAAGCGTTAATTAAATCAATGATAATTATGGCCTAATTATCAGTAGCAAGTTCAACGTAAATTAACTTACAATAATGCTGATTTATGATTTTTAGTTGATAATTAAGATTGAGGGTGATAGTAAGTGGTAAATTAAAACGTTTTTGTTCTGAAGTAGATTATTGGTTGATAGTTAACATATAGAATGATTATAATGATAATTAGTCGTAAATTAGGCCCATGATTTAGAAATGCAAAGCCCCTAAATTTAATTTCAAGATGGTGGAAAAAGAAAACATGTGAGAGATATTTCTCTCATAAAATTGAGAATTACAACGTGAATGGTGCGTATACTACCATGAAATTTGGTCAACATTATTATAAGGGTATGTAGAACATGAATACAATGTATGTTAAATTTTATTCACACTTCTGTCTGAAATGTTTATGAATTTAAAAAATCTTTTTGAATCAGATCATATAATATTAATCCTAGAATGCAATTTAGGTACTAACATGGGTTACCTATATTTCACAAGTAATCCAAATGTGCTCTTCTAAATAATGATTGTTAGATCAAAGACATTTCAAAACATATTTTTGATTATATCTGTTACGTCCTTA